TTCAAAACTCGATTAGTTCAATGTGTACGTACATCATTCTCGAAACTTGTCCTTGGGCAAATGAATAAATTAGATTAGTACCTATCTACCTATAATGATATTATTTATTCAGTGAAATGACGAACCTATATAAAACTTGAGTTGTTATTATTCTGAAGTAAGTTTTATTGAGAATAAAGAATCCTTAATCACATAATCGCAACCTTTTTTTTTTTTTTTTTTTTTTTTACGTGTGGAAATCCCCTCGGACCGTCACCCCGCCGGGGCTCTCGTTCGGCGGGGCGGTGTGTCGGACTCGAACCGACTAAAACCACACGGTGTGCCCTCTTTGCGCTTTTAGTTTAGGAGGGGTCCAGGTAGCTATCTCCTTCTGGACCCCTCCCAGCGCCGGCCCGCTCCTAGTGCGGGCTCCGTCTCAGTGGACCCTCTCTTTAGGCGACGTCCGGCACACGCGGACGCCGCCCCCTCGCGGCTGGCCAACTAATGCGGGTGGAGGGGAGAACCCATCCCGTCCACCCGCGGCCACACTCAGGGCGGCATGAGGCGCAGGTAGGCGCGCCTCCGCCGCCCGGTTCGCCGGCGGCGGATCAGGTCCGAGTGGAGGTCGTCCTCCCGGGCCTTCTCCGCCGCCTCCTTCTGCGAGATTACCTCCTCGCAGAAGGTTGCGACCGCGGTAAAACAACTGTCGCTACCGGCCATGGAGCGAATTACGGCCGGTAGCGAGAGATCTGCTCCGATGACTGCAGTGAGGGCCCGGCGCTGCGTCGCCCATGCGGGGCAAACCGCCAGCGTGTGCTGGGCCGAATCCTCACTGCAGTCGCAGTGGTGGCAGGCGGGACTCGATTCCCTCCTAGCGACCGAGTACAGGTACTTTCCGAAGCAACCGTGCCCGGAAAGCACCTGCGTCAGCCGGAAGGAAAGGGTCCCGTGCTGCCGCCCTGCCCACTCGGCGATGACCGGCTGGAGAGCCTCCACGGCGGCAAAGCCTCCGTGGAGTCTCCAGCCGGAACGACCATCTCACCATAGTGGCTCGGCGAGCGGCTTCGCGCCACTCGCGCACGTCTTCGGGCGGAGGGCGAAATCCGCTCTCCGCCCGGAAGTCAGCCACTCGCCGATAAACTTCGGCGAGCACTTCCGCCTCCAAATCCCACGGGGGTGTTCCGGCCAAGGCGCAAGCCGCCTCGGTGGACACCGTGCGGTATCCGCGTATGGCTCTGACCGCCAATATCCTCTGGGGGCGCCAGAGGCGCGCCCTATTCGGGGCGGTCAGAGCCGCCACCCACACCGGTGCACCATAAAGCGCCATGGACCGGACAACCCCCGCGTACAGCCGCCTCGTGGGAACACTGGCCCCGCCCAAGCATAATCGCAACCTAACTTAACCATTGCCATTGCCGCCCTTTGAGTAAACAAAAAAAAAATATAACTTAAAACCGGTTTTCTAAGAGGCCGTTGTATTATTCTGGGCGAGCTTGTCCATACGTGCCTCATTATACCTCTCGCATAGTTAAAAAATAAAATAATACTCCTAACAGTTAACAGTTAACGTTTGGTTGCGCGTGTGAGTGCATGTATACATATACATGCACTCACACGCGCAACCAAACGTTAATATTATTATCATACAATAAAACTTGTTACCGTTTACTCGTTCACACACACACACTCATGTACGCTTCTGACATGTTGACAATCTACTTAATGTTATGTAATGGGGGGCCTGGAGATCTATAGTACAGGCCTCGACTTAGTTTAGACTCCAGATCTCCTACAAATTACGAATTTCTTCAACTGTAAAATGTATCACATGAAGTAATTTGTGGAGATGAAATAAATATCTTCATTATTCTATTTATCAGTGAAAAGGCTTCTTATATTTTTTATCTTGATGGTATTAACTTTAATAATGAAAAAATACCTTATATATTTATTAGTCTACAAAATGCAATTAATACGTACAATTCAAGTCAGATCATAACCCGCCCTCGTCGCTCCCGGTGCAAAGGTGCCCATGATACTGGCAGCATTGCCTCGCTGAATTGCAACGGACATCCTTTGCACCAGAAACGAGCCGGAGCGGAAGTCACCACTTTTAATCCCTAACTCGGCAACCAATCTCCGCAATTAAATCTTTAGCTTCCGACCCCCAACTGCCCAAAGTGTCCACCGCAACGGGCACAAAATAATAATTCATCCCCATTGCGGCGTATTTTAATTGCTTCCTACTAGCGGTAGCCTCCACCGCCGCTGCCGGAGCGTGGACGGTGCGACTCAGATGTGAGGCCGCGACTGTGCTTACGCATGTAGCGTTCCATACCAAGCACTTGCCGTTTTTCTACGGCACTAAAGTCAAGCCATCCTTCCGCTTACCGTCAGTTCTGCTGAGACATGGTACCACCATGAGGCATGCTACCACCATGGCACCGCAGGTGCATCTATGTGGTTCGCACACCTTGCAGCCCAGGCGGAGAGCCACTGCCACACGCAAAGAGTCGCCGTGTAGCAAGGTGCCCAAGTGAGGCGATGGGAGATGTAACCATGCCCCTGACTCTGACTGCCATACGGCCCTCAGTCTCGCCAGATCGTTGCGCCTAGCAGTATCCAACATTTGTTTAAGGAGTCCCTTAGCTCCAACGTCATCCTATGCTCACATGACGTATAGGGTCACTGGACATGGCTCACCTGTGTTGACGGCCGACCATGCCGATACCGCCTCAGACACATAGGGTATGCTCGCCCTATCACCATTTGGAGAGAGTGTGACAGCGACAAGGTCCGCAACCCAATGCGCCGTAGGCCGCGGCAAGTTGTTGGATGCGCAGCAGAGGACCGGTTATTGCGGACCTTGAGGGAGGCCTATGTCCAGCAGTGACGTCTTTTGTCTGACACGATGATGATGATGCGGCCAAAGTTACAGTTATGATGTCCTTACATATGTATGTACGTACACTTGTATATCTGAATGGTTATGATGATACTTCACAAAATTGTTAATAGGTTCGTATTGACGCAGTACTTAAAATATAAGTAGTCAAGGCTACAGGCTCACAGTTGAAGAGCGCTTTTGATAACCTTTGTATTATTTTGCTACACGTGCAAAAATACTTAAATATGTCATTGAGTTACAAGTGATGACGGTATTTCAAATAAATTGAAAAAACATTATTTGAATGTAAATAGTAACATTAGATTTATATACCTTTCTTACCTTTGGAAATATATAAATGCAGAACAGCGACAGGGCTGTTATAGGGTTCCGTACCCCAAAGCAAAAATCAGAACTCTTGTAGGATTTTGTGGTCTGTCTTTCTGTCCACGCCCTTTATCTCGAGAACGCAAGGTGGATTGGGTGTGGATTACATAGAAGACGAAAATGCGTGGGATTAATTTAGCGCAGGCTATTTCTTAAAGAAAAATATGGTGTGTGTTTTTATTTTTATTATTTTCTATTTTAAATGTTTCAGTTCATTTTCTCTTTTATTCGAGTTTTTTGCTTAATCATGTTTTCTACCTTTTAGTCCTTAATAACGGACATACTGGCACACATCAAAACAATGTTGTGGTATATTTGTATCTATCTGTAAATTGCAAAAGAGTGGCCATGAGCTTGATTGCCCTTTCTTCTCATAAGGCTTAACCCCTTAAAAACAGGCGGTTATAGATCGGCACAGGCATATCATAGATGTTGTGTAAGTTTAATTTTGATTATATTTATTTTACTTACTATTTGACATAACAGAGATTATTGCTATTGTGTGTGTAGATCTATGACTTTAGAGTCTACATAATTTTTTTTTTCATTTTTTTTATGAAATAAAGGTAGTTTGAGTTTAAATCACATAAAAAAAAGTCTTTATTTAAAGTACGGAATCAATCATCGAGGTATAATTTCACTTATAAAACACAATAATATAAATATTTATAGGTTTTGAAAACTGCATTTCGGCAAAGCTCGGAAAAATTTGCGAGACAAGATTCCGGAACTATACATAATATCATCATCATCATCATCATCAGCCTATCGCAGTCCACTGCTGGACATAGGCCTCTCCCATTGCACGCCACTTAGATAAATTTTATGCTTCTCGCATCCAGCTCCTGCCAGCCATTTTGCGCAAACCGTCACTCCACCTGGCCTGTGGGCGTCCTACACTACGTTTGCCGAGACGCGGTCTCCACTCAAGAACTCGTTTTCCCATACGGTTGTCGGTTCTGCGGCTAATATGGCCAGCCCACTGCTACTTCAGCTTGCTGATCCGGTAGGCTATGTCGGTAACCTCATTCCCGATGCGATCCCTTAGAGAAACGCCGCCATAATATGTACCTACAAATTTGTACGGAACCCTCGGTGGGCGAGTCCGACTCGCAATTTTCCGATTTTTTTTTAAACTATAGAGACTAAAATAGCAGACGGGTTACCTGATAGTAAGTGACTAGACCACCACCCATGTACACAAATGCGTTGCCACCATTAAAAAGTGCCATTAAAAAGAAACATGAAAAATGGGTAAAGAAAAAAGTAGGTAGTAGGAAAGTAAAATTAACCAGGGTAACACATAATTTAACCAAATATTTATTTTGTTCTATACATATAAAACCTTTGCCTAATAAACGGAACATTCACACACAATTAAAAGTTTCCAGTTTTAATTAATTTCTAATCTAGTTTATAATTGCCTAATAAACAAAGACCCTTGAATTTGTGAACTGTAATAAAATTAAAACAAAAAAAAATAAAAGGGATAATTTCCAGGCTATCCCTTTTTCTTCTATTCTTAATATACAAGGTTCCTTTTTTCTACTTATTAATTCAAATTGTTATAAAACATGCATTGTTCATTCATGAAATCCTGTAATTATAGCCAAGGTTTGTAATTTGAATGAGTCCAATTCTCTATTTATTAATACTCGTAAGATGGCTACAGCTGAGTTTTTAAAGGCTACATTAAAAAAAACAGGAACCACATGATATTTTTCTAAAAAGGTAAATTGAAATTTGCTTAGTCTACACTCAAAGCTCTGAAGGATCCAGGCATTCCAACATATTGTTCATTAAAAACACCTGATTGTCTGCATGTTTCGTCTGTTTTAGCTTTATTCATTTCCAGGAAGAAATCCACGTTGTCCTTAGAACAAAAATTCTCCAAACATCTCTCTGTAATATCAAATAACTACATCAAATTACCTATATGCATAATTTCATCTAATCTAATGACTTGCGAAATATTTAAATTATAATAAAATAATAGTACATTTTGTAAATAGTCTAATAAACACTGAATTTTTTTTTATAACAAACTGAGTCTTCAAACTCTGTCAAACGTTCTTAGGTAATAAAACCAAAAGAATATATTTCTCCATGATCATTTTATACTATTCTTGTATAATTTTCTTCATTACTAAACTATGACTGAGCCATTCCATTCTAGGGAATTATATTTTTTTTAAAAACGGGTGTGCTATAGACCACACGACTAAAATAAAACTTCTTGGCTATGAGAGAAAGAGGTAAAGAAAATGTGTCTCTTTCTTTACCCTATAGTAATATACGAAACCTAACTCTCACTCTTTCTATGTACTGTTTTTCAAGATACTAGCATATTTGTCAAAATGGGAACATTAGGGGAATGGGAGTGGCCCGGGAACGGGCCAGGTACCGCAGGCGACTCTGTTATCTGATCTGATCTGATCTGATCTGATCTGTCACTCTAGCAGAAGCAGGCCGGGGTGGCGGCGAGCGCGTTGCGAAGCGCGCTCGCTTCCAGGGAGCACAGGGAGCATGGGGTTCCCACACGCGGGGGGTTCGTCTACTCGTCTGTAGATGACCCGAGGTATGTCGGGGTACCAGGGACTTCCTGTCTAGGGTATATCTGGTTCCCCGGCTATTAGTACCCGAGACGGCGTGCGGTTGTTTTAGTCGGTTCGAGTCCGACATGCCACATGGTGGTATCCGAGGGGATTTCCGCACGGAAAAAAAAAAAAAAAAAAGGGGAATGGGAGTATCTTGAAAAAGTGTGATAACTTTCCCTAAAAGGGAAAATTGGGAGTAAATTAGAAGCAAATGAAGTTAATTATTAAGTATTTGTGAATGTCGCATTTAGTCTTAATAATGTGTAAATTATTCACAGCATAGTTACCATAGAGTGCCCTTAAAGGCTTTTCTTTTCCGCCAAAATCTTCAGGCAACATATCTTTTTCAATGACTTCATGCAAACTATCTAAATTCTTAACTACGTCGATTCTTTCCCCAAGTTTAGCACTAAGTGTTTGTTTGAATAGTGAAACCAATGAATCCACCATCTTAGAACCTGACATGATAAGAATTTTTTTAATTCTCATACCGTATCCCTCCTAAAAGACAAATATAGGTACATAAGACAAATAAATTAATTTTGTTAATTAGATATTTTGCATTGTTCGTTAGTGTGTGCATATTCTACGACTAGTCTTGAAAATAACTGGAGAATCTAAATCAATATAAACTTCATCATCACATCAACAGCATATAATAGTCCACTGCTGAACATAGACCTCTCCTTAAAAAGGAGGTTTTGGCCTACTATGCCGTATTGGCACCCAGGGTGGTTTTTATAAGAAAAACAATTTCACCAGTTGGCATTTTCATCGGATGATGACAACATGTAGTTGTAATAAAAAAGAGCAGGTTTAACAAAATGTGTTAAACCAGTGCTTTAGTGTAAATTTATTTCAATTTTAATCGGTCTCGACCGCGAACGCGGTCACCGTAACGATCGAGTGGATGTGAAATAAAGTTGCACTTAGGCCTCTGTATAAGTACTCTAGGGTTTACAAAAGAGGAATACTTACAGTCATCAATGTAAATATATGTTTAAGATTCATTGGACTAATTTTAGTCACAAAGTTTAAAATATTAATATCCCTATAGTCGCAAATGAGAACAAATCCAGCATTGTAATCATTTCTTTTACAGTATTCACTGGCCTAAAAAAAATTAAACAATGCATTAAAAAACTGTTTATTTCTGATAATAATTGTATTACATAGTAAAAAAACTTGACATACCACAAATCGGCTGTATTCGTGGTGTGTCATGTCTTTTTTATTTCGTTATATTTTTGATGGTCGGCTACAAGCTAAGTGAAGGTATGTTGTCCCATTTGAAGTTCAAAAAGTTATAGAAACGTGAAAAGTAATGAAGAATATAAATGAGATGTTTTGTCAGTTAAGTGAGATTAATTAATAATGTCTACATCTATTTTTAAATAATAATCTAAACCGAGTCCGACCGTCTGACCCAAAACTATACAGAGCTTATGCTACGGAAACAACGTAGCTGATAAACATACTTATATATTTCTAAATACATACATATGATAGATGAATTACACCCGGACACAGGACACATGATCGTGCTAATCAGACCACTATTTGTCTTGGGTAGGAATCGAACCTCTAGTCTTGGTCAGTTACTTATTAGATGTACACTGACAAACCCATGGTAACACAACACCGTATTTCCCCCTTGAGCAATCTTGCTTTGATCAAGGGATCAGGAAACGTTGCCAAGGATAATTGAGATCGGGCCGCATCCTATACTATTAGATAAATATGATTAGCAATATACTTTATTGTTTACTTTATTACATGTGCTTGTTATACTTTATTACATAGCCTTGTTAAATTTTCATAATAATTAAACGACTATGGCTACAGTATTATACTACTGTAGCCATCGTCATTTTATACACTGTGTCATTAACACCGACATCCGATCTTACATTCCATATATTCATAAAGTAAGAATAATATACAGTAGTGAAAAATACACTGGTTGTAAGTTTGAACTGCAGCAAATTCACACAAATATCACTTTTAATTATAAATTATATTATACTAGTAATTATATGATATATTATAACATTCTGTTCTTTTTATTTTCTCCCGCTTTAGAAAAATGATTCGTGTCGCCGTGGACATTACAAACATACATGAAACGGACACAAAGAACACACAGACTCAGAACAACGATTTATCAATCACACAAAATGTAGTCCCATGTGGAGTACGAACCCACAACACTCATCGTAGTAAGAAGCGATGTGGTGATCGCTTAAACCAATACGCCATCCGTGCACTCGAGTTTACGAGTTTCATATTATATAATTAAAGTTTACTCAACAATAAAAAAGCTATAAAATATTTCACCAGTTAAATGAGACTTAAGCCAGGCCTTAACACAAATAGGCCGACTCGACCACAATGATACCACGACCTCATAGTAACTTGGAGCCCCTAACTCCACTGTCCTTAATTTGTGAGTTTATTATCCATGCTTCTGAGTCTATGGGAGGCGGTTGTCACTGCCAGCAGGTGACCCGTCAGCTAGCTTAGCCCGATAGCAAAAAAAAAAAATATTAAAATACTTACCACTACAATATACTTGTAGTAAGTTTGTACCAAGTTAGAATCAAAGTTATCAGATAGTATTTTCAACATATATACTCTGTTATGTTCCTTCGTCAGCTTTGGTAGGTGTGCTTGGATGCTGGAAATGTAAATCAGTATAAGTAGGTGCTAACAGATATAGCCAAAATTTCGAAAATTTAAATACTTGTAATTTATAATTAAAAATAGCCCTTGTTTTCTGTAATGAATATTCCACATTAATAATTTAAATGCCTAAGTGTGTCTGTCTGTATGTCTGCTACCGTTTCATGCTTAAACTGCTGAACCTATTTAGATGAAATTTGGTACAGAGATAGTTTGAGTCCCGGGAAGGGAAATAGGATAGTATTTTTTCACAGAAATCATTCTTCAAGGGGTGAAAGGGGGGTGGAAGTTTCTAAGAGGAATCAATAACTGCTGAACCGATGTGGATGAAATTTAGTTTGGAGATAGTTTGATTCTTAAGGACGGACATAGGCTTTTTGCAAAGTCCCCAGACGTGGTGAATACTTACACAAAATCCTCTAAAGGAGTAAAAATCTCTTTCGTGACGGTAGTCGGAAAAAACTCAGGCATTAAAGTTCTAAGAGTACATAGTTTGTCTAGTTTTTGTTTTGCACGTTCTATCGAACCTTTGGCAGTTACCAGAGTCGTTTCCAAATATATTCTTGCTGTAAATTAAAAGCAAACATTTAATTCTTAAATAATATAATATTCAGTATACCCCATATATGTGTTGTGTGATGTGGTGTGGTGCGATACGTCTGGTGACGGATTAAGAAAACGAAGTGTCACTACCCCTGTTCGTCCCACGGGTGTCTTAAGAGCCGACTAAAGGAGCAAACTACGCAAAGAGCTTCGCTATAGCGACACAATTAGTCAGATTATTTTGACTGTCACCGATTGCAAAATATTATTATTGGTAACAGTCGTAACAATAGAAAACAAATGAATTAAATGAGTACATAATTATTTAAAAATAAATTCTTCAAAAATAATATAATAAATTAAATTGTATTATATAACAGCTAGTGACAGCTCACGATTGACATAAATTTGGAGTTATTGCAGCCAGTATCACTTTATTATATATTTTAAATACACATATGAATATAGATCGAATACATGTTTTATTGTATAAAAAAGTTGGAGCAGATATCTATTACAACAAAAAAGAATACCTTAAACTATTCCGAGAAAAAATAAAAAAAATTAGGTTCAACGAACTACGATTAGCAATAAGAAAATTACCAAAGTTACACATTGTTATTTAGTATTATAGTATAGAAAACGAATGATATTATTTTAAATTATATATTTTAGTTCGAATCACTTGTTATAATTTAAAATTCAAATTGTTGCACTCACGGATGTCCTTTTTAACGAAATGGTTCTGCATTTTCACCCATTCTTCCAAAAGATCCAAAGCCTCATCAATTCTTCCTGGTTTATCTAAATTTATTTCTTTTCTAACATATTCTACAGTATCAGGATGTAGTTCCAACAGCCTATTTTTCGAACTCTCCATTTTCACGGCAACGAGCAACTATCAAATGAATCATAGAGTATGTATTCAAAGCTTTATATACAGATAAAATTGATGAGGGCATCGATGGTAGTTAACTGATTATTGATCGCGGTTTTGTCTATTTTGTTACACGATGTCAAGTCAAGATTTTGGTACTTTTAAAAGTAATTCATTGAGGCATTAATAAACAAAAGCAGCTGTGTTTTCGTTATTCACTTTGACTAATATGCTTGCAAGAAAGGGAGAAAAAACAGATAGAATCATGTTTTGACCTTTCGTTTTGTATTGACAATAAAGGTGCTAATAGTTGTTTCAACTTGGAAGAAAATTAACTAAGACAGACCATAATATTTATCAGTCGAATTGACAAAGTCTTCGATTTTTAAAGTTGATTGTAAGTTTTAAATTTTGTTAGTAAATAAAAAACTATGTATATCTTTTTGCCTGAAGTTAATTAACAATATAGGAACTTAGAATTTCGAGTAATTGAAATAGCTTTTAGGTAGAGTTAATAGTTATTTGAGTCTGTCAATAGTTTAAATCATGAAATGATACTTTCCGAGAGCAAATGCACGAGTTACTTCAATAATAAAGATCACTCATAGGTTTGTTTATAATATTTTAGCTGTTCTCTAAGTACCTACTATACTGAGATCCCGTCAACGGAATATGATTTAATAGTAATGATACTATCCGTGAACAAAAACCGTTTCACACAATAAAAAATCGAAATCTAATTAAAATCTCGTTGTTAGGGTTTCGTATCCAAAGGGTAAAACGGGACCCTATTACTAAGACTAAGTTGTCCATCCGTCTGTCTGTCTGTCTGTCACCAGGCTGTATCTCATGAACCATGATAGTTAGTTGAAATTTTTACAGATGATGCATTTTTGTTGCCGCTATAACAACAAATACTAAAAACAGAATAAAATAAATATTTAAGGGGGCTCCCATACAACAAACGTGTTTTTGTTGAAGTTTTTATAGGTAATGGTACGGAACCCTTCGTGCGCGAGTCCGGCTCTCACTTGGCCGGGTTTTTATTTTAATACGATTAAAAATAGAAAACTACATTTAATTTTCCCACCTATGTGCGCCGCTGATAAAGATTTAGATTGCCATATCAAGGATATCAACCTAATCATTATCTTTCTTGGTCTTAGTTCTTGTAAACTATGTACATAAATATCCGAGCCAGTTGATGACCCCGTTCTAGAGGAATCTCCATTCACAGGAGTCGAGTCTTGCAATATTATTTACCATACTCTGCTTCGCTATACCCTTTTCTTAATCCTGTTCACTTTTTTCCTGTCCTACATTAGCAATCCACCGGCCTGATGTTAATTCTCCTAATGAATATAATTCATTAGGAGAATTAACATCAGGCCGGTGGATCGTTATAAAAGAAACCAGCCCAAACCTTTGTGTGTGGTGACGGATTAAGAATACAGTGTGTCACCACCACTATTCATCCCGTAGGTGTCGTAAGAGCCGAAGACGCAAGACAGTAGCACTGTATCAACCCGTCTGGCCATGATGATATGAAACTTTTTGTAATTTTACACTTTTGTATGGTATAGGTTGAAATCAAACTGCTGGGTATTCGATAGCAATTGACTTTCGCCGCCCATGGATAGCTGAGCTATCGTTGTCACCCTTTAAGCCCTTCTCAGAATCAAGAGGAATGGGGTTCTGGGGCTCTGGTAATCTAACACACTTCTTGAAAAGCAATGAAAGAATTCCTTAACTCCAGTTTTGTGTGAGGCCGTGGTATCACTCCCATTTGTACTGGAGTATAGCTCTCCCGTGCTCCCACTCACCAGCGCTTCATGGACTTTAAATAAAATTGAAAAAGGGGGAAGAAACTGATGATAATGACGATACATACATAATAAAGGTATATTAGTATTCTTATCTATATACATCACTCTAATATAACTTACATTGAATATCTGTAGAATGTGAATAGATTTATCTGCTAACTTTATAACCAAGGCGTGCTTAATTTAGAGCACTAATCGCACGTTCCTTGCCAGGATATATAAATAAATTTCGCTTATTCTGAGTAGTGACGGATTAAGAATACGGAATGTCACTACCCCAATTCATCTCGTGGGTGTCGTAAGAGCCGACTAAGGGCACAAAACAAGCAGGACACCAGCACTGCAAAAAGAAGGTAAACTTGACACAAACCCTTTTTTTTTTTTTTTTTTTTAACGTGTGGAAATCCCCACCCCTCCGGGGTTTGCGGCGGGGTGGTGTGTCGGACTCGGACCGACTAAAACCACACGGTGTGCCACTCTGCGCCTGTAACAGGAGGGATCCGGGAACAGCTGTTGTTAAGACATCCGGACCCCTCCTAGCGCCAGCCCGCTCCTGGTGCGGGCTCCGTCTCAGTGTTGTTCCTCTCTATAGGCGACGTCCGGCACACGCGGACGCCGCCCCCTCGCGGCTGGCCAACTAATGCGGGTGGAGGGGAAACCCACCCCGTCCACCCGCGGCCACACTCAGGGCGGCATGAGGTTGTGGTAGGCGGGCCTCCGCCGCCCGGTTCGCCGGCGGCGGATCGGGTCCGAGTGGAGGTCGTCCTCCCGGGCCCTCTCCGCCGCCTCCTTCCGCGAGATTACTACCTCGCAGAAGGTTGCGACCGCGGTAAAACAACTGTCGCTACCGGCCATGGAGCGTACTACGGCCGGTAGCGAGAGATCCACTCCGATGACTGCAGTGAGGGCCCGGCGCTGCGCCGCCCATGCGGGGCAGACCGCCAGCGTGTGCTGGGCCGAGTCCTCACTGCAGTCGCAGTGGTGGCAGGCGGGACTCAGTTCCCTCCTAGCGACCGTGTGCAGGTACTTTCCGAAGCAACCATGCCCGGAAAGCACCTGCGTGAGCCGGAAGGAAAGGGTCCCGTGCTGCCGCCCTGCCCACTCGGCGATGACCGGCTGGAGAGCCTCCACGGCGGCAAAGCCAGCGCGTGGAGTCTCCAGCCGGAACGACCAACGAGCCATCGTGGCTCGGCGAGCGGCTTCGCGCCACTCGCGCACATCCTCGGGCGGAGGGCGAAATCCGCTCTCCGCCCGGAAGTCAGCCACTCGCCGATAAACTTCGGCGAGCACTTCCGCCTCCAAATCCCACGGGGGAGTTCCGGCCAATGCGCATGCCACCTCCGTCGAAACGGTGCGGTAACCGCGTATGGCTCTGACCGCCATTACCCTCTGAGGGCGCCAGAGGCGTACCCTATTCTGGGCGGTCAGAGCCGCCGCCCACACCGGTGCACCGTACAGTGCCATTGACCGGACAACCCCCGTGTACAGCCGTCTTGTCGCGACGCTGGGTCCACCCATATTGGGCAAGAGTCGCCCTAGGGCAGACGCAGCGCCGACCAGCTTTGGAGCAAGCTGTCGGAAGTGCTCGTCGAAGAGCCACCTCCCGTCGAGGATCAGGCCCAGATATTTCATCTGGGCCCGAACCGGTACGAGGACCGAGTTGACCACGATGGAGGCGCCAGGGGGTGGACCACGACGGGGCCCATGGAATAACAGGGCCTCCGTCTTATCTAGGGCCACCCGTAAGCCCAGCGCCTCAATGCGCCCGACCACCAGGGAGACTCCCCCTGTGGCCAGGCGCGCCGCCTCTTGGAAGTTTGCCCCCCGGGCTGTCACGAGGGTATCGTCTGCGTAACAGATTACACCCAGCCCGGGGGGGAAATCGGCGCGAAGGGCCCAGTCGTACCCTATGTTCCACAAGAGGGGTCCAAGAACAGACCCCTGTGGAACACCGCACGACATGGGCCGACAACTTGACACAAACCCTATACCAACCCGTCTGGCCAGCTTGATATAGTAGGCCAAAACCTCTTTTCTAAGGAGAGGCCTATGTCCAGCAGTGGACTAGTAAAGGCTATTGATGTGATGTGATTCTGAGTACTCCCATGGTGGAAAAACGGTTGCTGCGGACTTGCATATTACTGAATATAACAAAATTGTTAATATGCTTGTCGTATATCCTTAATAACGTCTTTGGCATCAACGTCACATATTATTCGTGCTTTGAAACTTAATTGCACATTACAACATTAGAAATTATTCATACAAACACCTTAGTGATCTTCTTGATTTCATTTATTTATTAAATAATGGCAGCTCAATGGAAAATGATAAAGGGATATCTACGTCACTTAATGATATAGATTTATATATTATTGTTTTATTTTTATGGAATAGGGGGCAAACAAGCAGACGGGTCACCTAATGGAAAACGACTACCGCCGCCCATGAACGCCTGCAACTCAGGAGTTCCAAGAGCGTTGCCAGCCTTTGAGGAAAGAGTTCTTTTCTTGAAGGTTTGAAGGTCGTATCGGTCCGGAAATACCTCAGCCGATAACTTGTTCCACAGATTGGTAGTGCGAGGCAAAAAGTGTAAAAATGTAGAGTGGTTAAAAATATTCGATTATAAACTTTGCTAGATAGGCTGTCAAAGCTGGGAAAGCGCTCATGAAAAAGAGTAAACTACGTTCCTACGCCGTGCTTCACTGGACAGGTTCGATTTGCATTGCGAAATTAATTTTATTGCAATTGCATAGTTTGTACAACAAAAGTGTTCAGGACTTATAAAGGTCCATCTAATCCAACAAACAGATTTTTAACAATAAGTCATATCAGTAAAACTAAGCTAACAACTATTTTGTAAATTAATTTAGATTTATCGCCATTTTGATTTTAACATGGGTGTTGCTAGTTAATGAAACTTAATCTTTTTTTTAGTGCTGATGTTGAGATTTTATTGGTAGGAGGCAATTTAAAGTACATCCGACCGTTTGAAGATTTATTTACTAAACTCATTGAATGCGACTTGAAAAATCTGAATTGCTGTTTTGTGAAATTAATTGTATCAAATGACTCTACATCACTATAAAAGTTAGCATAAAACTATGGACCCTGGTCGGAACGAAGTTACTTTCGCTTTTTGGTAGACGTTTCCTATAGAAAAAAGTCTTGTTACAC